CCCCAAAACCCCAAAACCCCAAAACCCCATGATTTAGTTGATCTAATTAGCAAGAAATATTTATTGGGTTGTTCAATCAAATAAGTTAAAATGCAAATATTAAATTCACGATACTTAAGCAGCTCATGCAAATTATTGATAATTACTGATGATTTTGAATATCGTCAAACTGATCAACCGAAAATAGCTGCTAATACGATTGCAATGATAACAATGGTGATTGCCAAAATAATGATCAAGCATTTTTGGCCTTTCTTCTAATGTGTCTGAGCTTCTTGCAACTCTCCTAATCCAGCCTTTGTATTAGTCTGTGCTGATGTGATGTGCTCATCTAATCTCTTCACCTTCTCACCTTGAGTTTAAGTCTCCATGGCTATATCCTTGGCTATCAAATTGATGTTCTACATTATTGATTCAATCTGAGTGATGTCTTTCTTCCTCTATTGAATGACCTCATCCATATTGTCGACCTCTGCATATATCTTGATTCTACATAATACAATTAAACTATAATCAAGCTTACTAATCTTGCTTTTTTATTTGCATTTGAAGTGTCTACTATTCATCACCTTGACTGCCAAAAATTAAAGTGGATAAACTTACGATACACTATCTCTTCCCTTTTATGCTAGCTCTATGAATAGCTATTCTTTTTCTTTTATTTTCTATGAGACAGCTTAAAATTTCTTGGTCATATCATCAAGATTAACATTATAGGCTTATACCTTCTCCTTTTTCAAGTTCTAATTCTTTGAGTTAATATTTGAATAATAGTTATACTGATGTTTAAGTGTTTGTAGTCTTCAGATCTTAGAATTAATGGATCTCTTATTGACATTGTTTTACTCTTTACAAGCACTTATTCATGCTGTCATTACTATAAACCCAATTAATTAATATATTGCTTTCTTTTATTTTGATAATCTTACATCTAAACTCTAAGTGATTCATTGTCCTACATAGTTCCAATCATCTCCATCTATGAAATTAAATCAATATTTGCAACAATAACAGATGTTTATTCTAGTCAGAAAAATTGACTTACGAATCTTTCAAGCTCTCTAATCTTATATCCAAGATTTGATAGAGATGCCTCAATACCTTGACAAGAGTTTTTAAATTCTGTTGACAATAAAGGGTCCTAAATGAAATTTAATTATTATCAGATATTTTTGCTAAATTTGTTGTACAGATAAAGATTCATTGTCCCCTTCTGTAGCTTTCTGTTTTTTAATTGAGGTATCGTAAGACATTATGCAAGATTAAATCAATAATTAATAATATTATGGCCTATCTACTATTCATTTAAACTAAGATCCTTTTCATGGGGTTTT